TCAAAGCTGAATTTTCAGCATCATTACTCTAGTCTTCAGTGTCACATGATCCTTCAGAAATCATTCTAATATACTGATTTGGTACTCTAAAATAATGTCTAAGTTTGTGCTGCTTAATATTTTTGTGTAAACTGTGAGACATTTTTTTCAGGGTTCTTTAAGTTCAAAAGAGCAGTTTATTTAAAATATAAATATTTTTCTTGTAAATCTTCCTTGTATTTATCCAAGCGTTTATTTCCTCTTTTCAGCTGATACTTGTGTGCGGAGCTTGAAACCTAGTCATACTTACAATTTTGACAGTAGTCTTTTTCTTGCCTTGCAAGCTTTGGTATTTGCTTCAGGAAATGCAGATCTAGTTCTTATTTTTGGAATTCTCTGTTGGGTTAATAATATATCAGCCAGAACACTGAACTCAAAAAAAAAAAAATCAGTTTTTCTTTCTGTGTTGTTTGTGTGTGTGTGTGTGTGTGTGTGTGTGTGAGCCAGTCATGATGAACTGGCTAAAAAGGATCTTCCTGCAGTGATAAACTTCATTACAAAGACCACTGGCCAGGAGCAAATCTTTTATGTGGGCCATTCCCAGGGAACCACTATAGGTATCACCTATTCTCTAAGCATTTTAGAGTGATTCATTATTTTGATCTGCTATTCATCAAATCACTGGTCTACAAAATATGCTCAGAGATGTGTTGTGCATTATGCATCTTCTCACACTGACAGTAGGCAAATGCATTATCATGCGTGTTACTGTGTGGGAACATCTCACAGCTCACAGCAGCTACAGTACTTCACACTTTTTGCTATGCATGATGTGATTCCAAGCTTTATATATCTTTATGTTTATATTACATTTTATATTTATATATTATTTTATATTATATATTTATTTCTTCTTGAAATGTTGATGCATAACTTCCTATTCTTGCTTCTTAGCGTTCATCGCTTTCTCCACAATGCCGGAGCTGGCCAGCAAAATCAAGATGTTCTTTGCTCTGGCTCCTGTCGCCACAGTGGGGTTGACCAAAAGCCCCATGACCAAATTGTCTCTTATTCCAGAGTTTCTCATTTGGGTGAGCATTTTGTTTGTAACACTATTCTATAGCTCGGTTCCACAAACTAGAAAACTACCCTATTGCCTACCTAGGCAGCTGCCATCTAAGGATCTGTCCTTTGAAAGAAAGGATTCTGAACGCTCTGCATAAGTAGCAATACTTAGATTTTTATAGTTTGACACTACAATTTTGCTAAGCTAGCAGCATGAAGAAATAAAATGCAAATATTGGATAAAATAGTGTATTCTAAATTACACATTTTAATTATTTTAATTACACTTCCAGTCAAAAGTTTTTGAACAGTAAGATTTTTAATGTTTTTTTTAAAGAATTATCTTCTGCTCACCAAGCCTGCATTTATTTGATCCAAAATACAGCAAAAGCTGTAATATCGCGAAATATTTTTACTATTGCTTTCTATTTGAATATATTTTAACATTTAATTTATTCCTGTGATTTCCAGTCACATGATCCTTCAGAAATCATTCTAATATTGTGATTTGCTGCTTTAAAAACATTTATTATTATTATTATGCTGAAAAGAATTATGTTGAGTAGAATTTTTTTTTAGGTTTCTTTGACGAATAGAAAGTTCAGAAGAACAACATTAATCTGAAATAGAAATCTTTAGTAACATTATAAATGTCTTTATCATCACTTTTGATCAATTTAATGCATCCTTGCTAAATAAAAGTAATAATTTCTATCATTTCTTTTCAAAAAAATAAAAATTATACTGACTCCAGGCACTGGAGTAATGATGCTGAAAATTTAGCTTTGATCACAGAAATAAATTACATTTTAAAATGTATTCAAATAGAAAGCAGTTAAAATATTTCACATTACTGCTTTTGCTGTATTTTGGATCAAATAAATGCAGGCTTAGTGAGCAGAAGAGACTTCTTTAAAAACATTAACAAATCTAAATGATCAAAACATTTTGACTGGTAGTGTATATACTGTATGTAGTACATACATTCTTTTGCTCTTGTGATGCCTTAAAATCTAGCCTCTGTTGGCAGTTCACTAGGTTTTGGAACAGAACATATAACTCATATTTATAGTGTTTTTACACATTCAAAAATGTCATGTTTCCTGGTACTGGTAGTGATAACATTACAGAAATCAGTAGTCAATAAAAAAAGTGTTTTCCTTACAACTGAAGGTCATTAAAGTGGGTTTATGTTTTTTAAGGTTATATACAGCCATGATGATAATTTATCAGAATAATATATTATTATTATTATTATTTACTTTTTTACATTTGTAGGATCTCTTCGGACGAAAGGACTTCTTTCCTCAGAATGAGTTGATTAAGTTTTTTGCCACTGAGTTCTGCAGCAGAAAGCCTTTGAGTGTGCTGTGCGGGAATGTTTTCTTTCTTCTCTGTGGTTTTGATGAGAAGAACCTGAACATGGTATAGCACTCGCTTTGTTAGATCATGCTTTTTAATGCCAGTGAATTTGAGAATGTTCCTTCATGTGTTCCTTCATCTCTCTCTCTTTCAGAGCAGAACACCTGTGTACACAACACACTGCCCAGCAGGAACCTCAGTCCAGAACATGGTTCATTGGGCTCAGGTAACAAAAAAAAAACAAAAAAAACTCAGTTTCTATGTGACATGTCTATGTGCCTTACTAAATGTCCTTCTCCACCAGCAATATATTTTAAAACATCCCCACATTATTTCCTCAAAATGAGTGAAAGCACAACCACCAGAAGTTGCAACAGTTCCTTAATCTGTCTCAGAGTAAAATATCAGTGTGAACTGACAGAGCAGAGAAGCACTGAGGTGTTTCAATAGGGGCTTTTTGGTAAGGCACACAGGTCAGATGTCTTTGGCATTTTTCTGGGCCTGCTTGACCACATTGCCTTGCATGTGTTCTCAAATGCACTTTGGTTTTAGGTTTTAGGACAACTTTGATGAAAGGTTTTGATCCATGTTGACTAGTGTATATATATATATATATATTATCATTACCACTGTTTGGAAACTTTAAAGTGAATGGACAGGACTCCGTTGTGAACACAACCTTTGTATATACAGCAAAACGCTGAGTAATTCAGTAAGACTGTAGTTATACATTGCAGCAATTACTTGTAAAGATAATTAAATGCAGACCACACCTTACTCTGTATGTCTTAGGGCTGGTTCACACACTGCCCCACCAAACACCAACAAACGGCAACAACTCAAACAATGTAAAGATGTCTGTTGAATTTATGTTAAGAAACAACTGTCATGTTCACACTGATCCTACAAACACCAACATGGTCCAATTAAAGCCATACAAAAGACTGCTCTTTGATACAAAAGGCACTATCAAACATATGAACATTCTACTTTATAATTTTACCTGTTCTTAAATACATTTCTTGTATTCTTAATACAGGCTGTGAAATCCAGTAAGCTTATGGCATATGATTATGGAAAAGCTGGAAATATGGCACATTATAATCAGGTAACACTGAGGACTTGACTATTTCTGCCTGTAAAGAGATCCAAAAATGAAAACTCTTGTTATCATTTACACCCTCATGTGTATATATATATATATATATATATATATATATACAGTGGTGTGAAAAAGTGTTGGCCCCCTTCCTGATTTCTTATTTTTTTGCATGTTTGTCACACTTTAATGTTTCAGATCATCAAACAAATTTAAATATTAGTCAAAGATAACACAAGTGCCAGTTATTAGGTTTAGGGGGCAAACACTTTTTCACACAGGGCCATGTAGTTTTGGATTTTGTTTTCCCTTAATAATAAAAACCTTCATTTAAAAACTGCATGTGTTCACTTGTGTTATCTTTTACTAATATTTAAATTTGTTTGATGATCTAAAACATTAAAGTGTGACAAACATACAAAAGAAATCAGGAAGGGGGGCCAACACTTTTTCACACCACTGTGTATATATATCTTTCTTCTGCTTAACACAAAACAGCCCTAATCCTAACCAAACAGCTTCCTGTTGACTTCCAAAACCGAAACTGTTTAGTTACCAACATTCTTCAAAATACTGTATCCTCTTTTGTGTTCCACAGAAGAGAAAGTCATACAGGTTTGGAAATGACATGAGGATGACTAATTGATGACAATTTCCCTTCAAGCTATTTTCACCACTAACTATACTAACTTGCCTATCCAGGGCATTTTTTTAATACTGTAGACTCCCGTGAGGATGAATGTGTGATGTTTGCTGTCACTCTGAGAGTCAGTAGTGGAACTGAGCAGTGCTTGAAGTGTTAAAGTCTCTTCCTGCTTCTCCCCTAACAGTCGACCCCTCCCCTGTACAACCTGCGGGACATGACGGTACCCACAGCCTTGTGGTCTGGTGGGCAGGACACTCTGGCAGATCCTCAGGACGTGGCTCTACTGCTAACACAGATACCCAAATTGGTGTACCACCGTGACATTAAGCACTGGGAGCACCTGGACTTCATCTGGGGTTTGGATGCCCCACAAGAGATGTACAACAAAATTATCGAAATGATGAGGGAGAATGTGTGAAGAGACATTTTGTTTGAGCAGTAGGTTTTATCAGCATTCCTTGAGCTTGAGCTAATACTTCTGTACCTCTTTGTTTGTTCTTTCTGTAAGCAGATGAACCCATTTGTTTGAGGTGCTGGTAACCGAATCTGCAATTTGCGAATGTAAATTTGATATTACAAACTGAATTAAGCCTTCGAGCCATTACCCAGAGACTGAGTTTTACACTCATGATCAGGGGTTGCCTTTTAATGTCTTTTAAAGGACATGCACTTGTTTAATGTTTTTTTTTTTACTTTAGCTTTTACTAACCACTACATCCTCAATCTCACTATACTGTAGCATTTCATGACCTGTCTTATGGCCTCGTCATGTAATCGACTGATTTTGTAAAACATGACTGGAAATAAACATACATTGATGCCGAAAATGTGTATACAAAAAGTTATTTTGCTTAGTGAGAGGTTTTACTTTTAAACCAACAATTTGACACAATCCAAATCCATTTGAAATCTTAACAGTGATAAAAAAACAAACTTTAACACTTTAAAACAAACTGAATATACATATACAGTACATTAAATTATCAATATACAATATAAGAACAACACAAATATGAGTAATCAAATGAAAAACTAAATCAAATATGCGTAAATACATCCTTCATCTGAGAAATGCATTTCTTATGACATTAAGTGTGTTCAAACATTATGTGTGGTTCAAAGTGTAAAAAATTTTGACAATTGGTGAAAACCCAATCTTAAACTCAGCTGGTGAATTGTAAAGGACCCCACTGCTGCTGCACATGAAACACGTCTCTTCTCTCATGTCCTCTATTATTACTCACATTGATTTTGTTAACATTGTAACAATTTTGTGGAATTGTAGTCTCTTTGCAATATCTAGTGGGGTTTCATGATTCTGTAAAGCAGACAGAAACAGCATGTCAAACTATTAAAAGAGTCACACAATGCGTTTAACAGAGAGAAAAGAGAAAACAAAATGTATGCTTGTTTCACATCACAGATCAACACCAGTTTCAAATCCTGTCAGTCTCAGCAAATGCAATTTCTCTAAAACACTTTAATACTTTGTTACATTTAACATTCACTTACCAAGTTCTCAGTTGACATTAAGAGAATGGTTTGCTGCTAAATACAGTGCAACACGTCTATGTCACCAGTCACTACTTTGTTCATTTTCACCTTATCTACCGTGTAGAGTTTAACATTTTTAAAGTTACTTTAATAAAGACAGTAAGATTACAGATCCCTATATAGAAGTTCACGTACTTGCTATAAATAATTAACTTACTTTGTTCTGTACTGAAACATCTGCATTTTTCTCCAATAACAGTGGAATGATCCTTTGACTTTTTCTTTGGCATGCATAGTGAAGTCCAGTGTTCCCCTTCTGAAAAAAGCAAAGCTGCACAAATTATAACCATGAACATCCTTTTTAGCATGATAATTATCTCTTAATTAATTTCCAAAACATGATGAGTGTTCTACTTACACAGTCTACAGCATTTACTTCCACCTTAGTGGCCAACAGAAGCTCCATCAATTTCACATTTTTTCTTTGCTTCTCTTCCTTTTGAGATAAAATGTGCAATGCTTTAATTTTGTCTAATTAAACACATTTAGATCAGTCATAAATTAAAGTCAGATTACATAAGTGATGGACAAGAACACATACAAAAACGCCACAAATCGCTCTCTATTCCTGTACACTAATCAGGGAAATTCCTGATCTCAAAATTTCAAAAAAAATTTTCAGACAGTAAATAGTCTCTTCCAGAAATGCCATGACTGAGGGATAACCTACCATTATAAGATAACCAATTAACAAGATAGGCATTAATATGGCAATCATCAAGTAGTCCAGGAAGGAAAATGTTCTTCTCGTGGCATAGTGCAAACAAGTCCTTTCTTTCTAAAGGAAGAACATACACATAGATATGTTTAAACAAGCAAGCTGACCGCACAAAATAAACAAACATTAATAAAATGTACCACAGGGTGAGTCAGAAAAACAACATGCATTAAAATGAATCATTGCGCATTACACTCACTCATAACAATACAACTGCAGCAGCATTACGATAACCAGGATTCAAACAGAACTATTTTCAGTCTCCTCACTTATGCAATACCTTATTTCTAATAGACACATTTGCATTGTAATCTAGAAGGTATTTGACAGTCCTGAGGTGTCCCCGTCTACAGGCGGCTATGATCGGTGTGTCTCCTGTTCCTTCATCTTGAACGTTTACATTTTTGGGATCGGCTGAGATCAGTTTTTGCAACTTATGGATGTCATCGTCATAAGCTGCCTGACACATAGGCTATGGAAAGAAAGTAGCACAAAATATGATTAGAAATAAGCACATGAAACAATTAATTATCCTATATCTAATACGTTTAATAAGACTAAGACAACTAAGGTATAATTAAGGAGGCATGCGATTTTGACCTGAAAGGTTTGATATCAGATAGGGTGATGAGCAAAACAGGTCTGGTGACATCCCAAGCATGATGGATAACTTAACACATAAACACACCCTTATCAAATACATTACAGCAAAAAAACAACAACTACAAAAAAACACTGTATAAAGGTCTTTGAACAGTAAAGTATTTTTCCTTTTCACGCATAAGTAGACTATATTATGTCTTTTAAGGACTGAAGATCTAGAAGGTATCACCGTCATGAAAATAACAACAGCAATGCCATAAAAAAAAAAGAGAGAAAATATGATTTTCAGGTACAATGTGAAACTGTCCTGTATTGTCTGTGAACGTGTGTTAAACTGTCAGAGAAGAGGACAGTTATTTGGCATTGTCATGTCACAAAAGTTAAAATAAGCATAATTATTTTTTTAGTCAGTAGAAAAACATTATGTTGACACAACATTGAGGTATGAAGAACAAAACTCATTAAGTTGTTAGAGATTAAATTTAGCATAACACGATCAGTCGATTATCATAATCATCATCAGTTATATGAGCCAAGTCAGTTGTTTCCTAAAGAAAGGAAGATCAAGACACGTTTCAAAGGAGTTAAGGTTACTCACCTCTGAGTACAAGATTCCCATTTGGCTTCCTCTGTCCCTAAAGGGAAACGAACTTAAACTTGTAAATCCTTAATGCGGACTCTGAGGTAATAAAACTAACAGCCCTTTGCTAACTTGTTTGCTTTCTACCTTGCGAAATGCGAACTGTGTGAAACAGCGCTTCAGATAAGGGTGTGGTCATGTAACAATGACGCATACGTCATGACGCAATCAGTGCCGTTCAGGTGTGTAGCGGTGGATTCCGGTCCATAGACTCATTTCCTCTCAACAGAAGATAGAATAGACTTACTAACATGGCGGTTAAATACCGTAAAAAAGGTTTTCATTTGTAAAGCTCTAAAAACCTTACTGACTGATGTTTTAGTGCACTTCCTGCAAATATGGAAAAAAAAATAAAGGGTCTCAATTAAATACGTGCAGTTTCACATGGTTAGTGCAAATTGTCACATGACCAGAGCAGTTTATTTCCTGTTGGCACCTTGAGAAGATGATAACTGCATCAAAGCTCCAAAACAAAAGGCTAGTAAAGTACATTAACATAAAGATGTGACAAAGATTTTTGGTACACATTATCTTTAAGGAGTCTAGTATTAATATATGAATTCACATATATTCAGTTTTGTTGAGTGTGGTCATTGAATGAGTAAACATGTTGATGGTCACAATAGTGGGATAGCAGTGAACTTAGATATACAATATAAATCCAATTGCAGTTGTTAGTGAAAATTACACTAAAATGTTGCAATGACAAAACATTGCACTAAATTAAAAATTCAAATGTTACAAAAAATGTACAATATTGATGTTGTAATACTGGTAGCACTAATATAAAAATTTGATGTTATATTTTACAAAAAAGTAACAATTTTGAAATGTGTTGATGGTTGAATTTTTTTGTCTTTTATCTCAGTATTCCTATCAATTTGTTTATGCATAATAGTAACCCTAAAATGTGATCAAACAGTTTAAAATAGCTGGGCTAAGATATATAACAATTTTTATGACTGCAGAAATATATTAATTCAGTACACACATTATCTCACAATTGTGACCGACCATAAAACACCGTTTTTCACACACTTTTCCAAAAACATTTTAAAAAATAATTATTGATTATTTCAAACAAAGGGTTACTAATGACACATCATTTGGATATTTTCATGTCTGGGAAAAATTTGGTGTTAAACAGGTATAAACAGGGTGCGAACTACGGGGGAGCTAGGGGGAGCTCGGCTCCCCTTAATAAGACATGGGCTCCCCTGAAAACGGGATTTGTGAAATTTTGGGGGGTCTCAAAAAATATTGACAATGTGTTATTTTGACGTGCAATTTCAGTTTTGTGTAATGTGATCATCGTGGATTATTATGTGTAAAATTGCAAAAATATCATTCATTCATGCATGACGGCGATTTAAACCTAATTCACTTCAATAAAGATAACTATACATGCTATTCTTGTCATGAGCATCAAGGTGTGGGGCGGTGCAAATTCCACTCATGTTTAGTACATGTTAACCCAAAGATTCGTAGAAAAAATATAAACGCTGGACTCGGTGGTCGATTCTGTGTAAGGCATGTTATTCGCAATTATGTGTTGTGGCTGGGTTGTTATAGGTCTGCGTGACTCTCGATGTCTTAGGCCTAATTGAACGGAGGAATTATGGTATTCTGTAGCCTGACGACGAGTAACTTTAACCGTTGTTCATGTGAACTCAAAGACAGCCTGATGCTTTGTTTATAGACTATTTGGGGGTGGTTGTTTGTTGTTGCACCTATCAATTCGTGTCGATAAAGTATAATAGGGTAAATCCTGTATAGTGATTTATCCTATATATGTCTAACAATTAACCCCCCCCCACCGTTATAAGAAAAAAAACCCACCGTTATAAGAAAAAAACAAGTGGGCTCCCCCAAAGTCCACGGTATAGTTCGAACACTGGGTATAATGAAAACGGTTTCTTAAGTAAGAAGAACCAAGACAAACGAACGAACGAATGAATAAATAAATAAATAAATGACAACTGGCCTTGTCATTTCAATCAATCAATGGAAATATACAAATTACAGTTGGCCTTGTCATTTCAATAAATAAATTAATAAATAAATGGAAATATACAAATGACAATTGACCTTGTAATTTCAATCAGTCAATCAATCAATCAATAAATGCAGTTGACAAATATACTTTTAATAACTTTTCTGTTACTACACATCAAGATAATAACATCCATATAGTTTTTAGTTTCTTTGAGAACCACAATTAACCAGTCAAAGAGATCTGATTTTTATAGCGAGATCTGGCACTGCCTGTAAATAATTTTGTAAGTTGAGTAAGTATTTAAATTTTTTTTTTTTCAGTTAGAAGTTGTGACTAGCCTACTGTCTGTGAATACTGAGGGATGTGTAAGAAACCAACAAATTCTTATCTGGTATAATGACTGTACATCTGCCTGTCTTTAGCTCTCCACACTTTATTAGAAAACAATGTCTCTGGCTCATAATACTAAAATTTGAATTTTAAAATTGTGATAGTAGTATTTATTTATTTAATTTATTTTTTACTGAAAAACTTTGTCATTAATTTACCGGTAAAATATGTGACCCTGGACTACAAAACCAGTCATAAGTAGCACAGGTATATTTGTTGTAATAGCCAACAATACATTGTATGGGTCAAAATGATCAATTTTTCTTTTATGCCAAAAATCATTAGGATATTAAGTAAAGATCATGTTCCCTGCAGATATTTTGTAAATTTCCTACTGTAAATATATCAAAACTTATTTTTTGATTAGTGATATGTATCATTTGGACAACTTTAAAGGTGATTTTCTCAATAT